ACTATGAAAATGATATTTGAGTGTTCCAGGGGCTGAATACATTTTGTTTACATGTTGCTTGTCAGATTTAGACATCAGACTATTAAAATGACTTCTGTGTGAAGATCAACAGCTATTTCTTAAATATTTTCCCTTATATTTTTGAGGTATTTATAAGGATCAGTAAATATAATATGTTTTGTCATGTCTCTTGTTATGCAGCTATCTGCACCAAACATGCCATGGATTGGAAATAGCCTGAAGTTAAGAGATCTGCTTGTAGTGCCTCCATTTTTAGATGTTTTTTTTACATTGAGCCATTATCTAATAGCCAAGAAATAAATTGGAAATCTATTTAACTAAATTAATCAGAACATAGATGAGTGCAGAACTATTCCCTAGAAGTAACAGAGTATAGCTTTATTTTTCATTTAGCACATGAGTCTGATATGGGGGGTTTAACCTTTAAATAGAAATAATAGTTTTCAGGCTGAACGTAATTGTAGTTGACAAAATTAACCATCTTATACAAAAATCTAGATTAAAGAAAGAATGCTAAGAAGTGACCAGAAGTAAACCCAATATGTATTTAATGACAAAAGAAAAGAAAATTTCTCAAATATGATTTATTCTTTCTATGTTTAGTATTTTATATTCTTGAGCTGCTCACCTGTCACTTGCATGCACACCATGAAAGAATGTTAGAAGACAAACCCCTCCCCCCCCCTTATATAAAGTATGTGTTGTCTTCAACTTTCAGGTAAAAGCAAAGGCTGCAAATCAGGAAGGCTTGCAAGTTTTGTTTTCTCTTTTTCTGCTTCATCATACTTTTCTGCTGATTCCCCTACAGTGAACATATGAAATACTAAAAGCATGGCATAGAATACTTACATTCTACTACTGCAAGTATTTAATAAAGCTGTAATGATTGTATGACACTTTAAGCAAACACAAAAGAAAAACTGAACCAGGCATTGGAGCTGCATCCTTTGGAGTTAGTCCTGTAAGTTACAAATTACGGTTTATACTTTGGAAAACATGAATCAGTAAATGAAAAATATCCTTTGTGTGTGCCTTTTTCATGATTTATTAGTTCATGAAAAAAACCCTATCCTATAGGACAATTTGTTAAACAGTGCATGTGATCTTTCTGATTTTTTTTTGGCAGTTGGTTATGCTAAATAGAAGCGTAGATGTGAAAGGTGCAGTTCTCTTTGGAACTAATGTGGGTGCATTCATTTGTGAGTGAATCTGAGGATGGTTTGCAGAACTCAGTCAGTGCTTTTAAATATGTCTCTTTCTCTCCATTCTTCTCCTTCCTTTTCTAGCTGTCTTAGCTGTGGCAGTAGCTATCTTAATTTAGAGTAAGCAAACTTCTCTTACAGATTTGTAGTATATCCTCAAGAGTGAAAAACATCCCACATTTTTTCTCCCCTCAGCAGAATCAGAACACTTTGCCCTTTTCCTATTCCTGTGTTTATTTCCTCTGATTTCTTCTTCCTGTCTCACTAAGGTGTGATTTTTTTTTTTCATTTAGTTGCTTTAAGATGGTTATGATTTGGTATGTATCTCTAAATAAGGTGTAGGAGCTATTTTTATTGCCATTTGGGATGATGACTTTGGGAATCCAGATGATCCATCATGTCAAATTAATTAGTTGTGTTTGTGAATTTCGTCTTGTATTCAATTGAAAATTTCAAGGTATTTTTAGCAATTACAAGGACACCATAAGTATGTGATGTTTGCTCATACCAAGTTATTTTAAACTTTCGAATGAGTGCCAGTGCTCAAAAAAGATTTTAACATTATTAGCATTAGCTTTGGGTCTGGAAAAAAAATCTTAGCAGAGTTCTATTTGTATTAATAGTAATCCAAGCTGATAGTAGATGCAGACAGCCAAAGCCTCTTAGGCTGAACACAGTAATTCCAATGTTGTAGCAAAACCTTGGTATACATCAAATGAATAAGAGAGATGATACTCTGGTTGGAAGACGTTTATGTTAATAAGCAGACCACCTTTTCATTCAGCAGACTACTGTTAATGAGCAGATCACCTTTTCATTCAGAAGAATAATGGTTATTCTGGTTCTTTGTCTCCAAAAGAAAAAAAATTCATGTCTGAGAAGGAAGCCTTAAATAACAGGTCGTAACTCAACTGTGGTACTCTCCTTTTCCTTCATCTCCTGTCTCCAGAAGGGCTACTGACTTTCCTGGGGTGCTGTGAAGTTTCACTTTCATGTGAAAAGGTAAATTGGTTCACTCTCAAATGAAAGTACATTTTAAGTGAGCCTGTTTGGCAGCAGTGTTGGGGGAGGGAAGGTACTTTGTTTCTTAAGTTCAGTCACTAGTACTTGTTAAGCAGGTAAACTTCAGAGCAATGTTTCTTTGCTAGTTTGCAGCTTTAAAATGTGGCTCTAAAATTTTTTTAATGTTGAAGAAGTATCCAAGAGGCAAAGGACTCGCTGCTCAGCCCCAATTTCTTTATTGTAAAGCAAAAGTAATCTGAAGTTGTCATTTTGGAATTTGTTGGCATTTTAAGGTAAGGGGAAGGAGGAAGGAATCAAGCAGGCAATGAAGGAAGGGAAGGAAGGGAGGGAGGGAGGGAGGGAAGGGAGCAAAGGGAAGAGAGGAGAGGGAAGGGAGGAAAGGAAGGAAGTTAGTTCCTGGTTTGGTACTTTAACTTAGTTAATTTACCAGGTTACAGTTTGGAGGGCAGCAGACCTTTCAGGTCTTGATAATGTGCCATGACAGCGCTTAAATTGAAATGCAATCTCCAGTTTCCAGTCTGTGATTTTCCTCCCAAAAAATCTCAAACACAGAATTTTAGGTAGCAGTACAAGTGTATTAATGAATAAGCAATGTGCAGAAATACAGCAGAAATCTATGTTTAAGGTATTTGGTGATGTTACTTCTGCACCTGAAGCTGGTTTAAAGGCCCCTCTTTTGAAATGTTAGAATAAGTATTCCATAGCTACAAGTCCGTTTAGAGTCTGGAGTAGCATGTTACTGCTTTACGAAAGACCATTTGCCATTATTGCTTTCAAATATGCCAGTATTATTTTGTACTATTTGATAAACAGCTTTGAGTTGACCAGAGAATAATTCCTAGAACTGAGATATTTTTGCAGTTACAGAAGGAGCTATAGCATCTCATGAAGATGCTGTTAACACCTTGCTGAAATGCCATGGAAGTAATCTCTTGTTCACTTAGTCCTTTTTATTCAAAAAGCCACATCTGAATTTTTGTCGTAGGCAAAGATGGTGTTTTCTCTGACAAAAGCTGAATAAAAAGCCAGTCCAAGGAAGCAAAGTGTTCCTTGGCTGTGAAGTCAGGTCCTGCCCTAATGAGGAGAATGACTTTTGCAATGCCATGCTTGTGGCAGGAGAGGGAAGACAGGCCCATAATGTGAGAGGAGCAGCAGTTTATATGTGGGAATCAAAACAACAAGCAGTTTGCAGTTTGTTGTCTTCAGTCCTTTCCTCCATCACTGCTGAGTGAGTGTTTAAACCCACCTAACAATGGGGCCAGCTTGGTTTATATAACCTTGACCAGGCATGCCTTCTCTAAACAAGCTTCTGGGCAAGAACTTGTGCATCCTGGTGGATTGGCATGAGAAAAGAGATCTTCTCTCCTTTGCTGTAGTGCATCTGGAATTCAGATGGATAGGTCATGGACAGAATTAAGATTTTTGCTGTTTAGTGTGTGGTAAGGGATTCTGTTCCAAAACTCTTCAGAGCTGGGAAGTAGAATAGAAAAAATTGGCGAGGGAGTTGGGGCCACCCATGTCTGATGGAGCAGGAAATCAGCTTCCTGTATGTTATTTCCCACTCATATTGCGCCCTTCCCCCCATAAACTGTATTAAAGATAAGGGCAGAGTCCCAGCAATGCCTGCACTGAATTGCATGCAGGATCAAGTGTGGTTTTTAGTGCTAGGTAATGTTTCCAGATGATGATGAAGTTGCAGCCTAATTAATAAACCACAATCTTTCTGTTTGTATGTGGTTGGGACAATTGAGATTAACTCTTGGTCTTAATCAAATTCTACTGTAATTTGGCAGGTGCATTATGTGTGTACTTGAATCAGTGAAAAGTATATACCAAAAGAAATACCAAACTACCAATGAAAAGGAGTTGAAATAATGAAGAATATTTCAATTGATTTTGTTTTGAACTTCACGAGTGATTTTGGGATGTAATGTACTATAAATGTGTATTGCAACCTCCTATATGATACTCACAAAGGAAGCTTTTTGTGACATCTGTAGGGAAAAGTGAGAAAAACACACTATTGGTAATTCTAAAAGTTTTGTTTGGGGATGATCTAAGCTACTTTCCTTAATGTTTTATAATTAAAGTATGAATTTAAGTTGCTGTTAGCTGCATGGTTGCCTTCACTCTGCACATTATTTAGCTTTTATATTTTAAGAGAACGATTTTTATATTTATACTTAATTATAGGAACTGTAGAAACCCATGTTACATTTTCAGTTGTGCTGTTTGCATTATAATACTCATGAAGCTAATGATTTTAAAAAAACTTCTGACTAGCTCCTGCTTTTCAAAATACTACATCTGTTAATGACTGCATTTTACTAGCTTTGTGGTTATCTCAGTGGGATAGTCCAAATCTGGAATGAGTGCTCGTGGAAAGTATGGCAAGAGTGGACCTTATAACATTGCTTCTAAATGTCCTGTGTATTAATTGTAATATCTGAATTAATTTTAGCTGTAATAATGCTATAAGTTTTTGTTGGCATTCTTTGGTATTTTAGTCAAACTATACAGTATAGTTTCATATCATGCCTGTAAAAATAATTTAACAGCCTGAGTTAAAATATATATGTGTAATCTCACATTAATCTAAAATTATGGCATATATGCAATATGCAGTCTACTGAACTAGTGTCAAAACAGTATAGATTAATAATTTGTTCCATTGCATTCTTTCATAATGACATTTTAAAAATTATGAATGTAAATAAATACTTTTTCATTGTGTTTTTTTTTCCTCTTTAACAGGACACTACAAGTATAGAAAAAATGTCAAATTGTTGTGAAGACATGTAAGTTCTGTAAAATTCCTACATTGCTGAAATGCTAAGGGAATAGCTGTTTGTTAAGATGATTTTACATGGTACTGTGCTCTGTGCTTCCCATCTTAGTAGCAGCACCTCACTAATCTTTTAATAGTGGTTGTACACAAAATAGCCACGTGTTGTTCCCTTTCTTTCCCTACCCAAAGCCAGCAGAACTATATTTTCTTTTCAAAAGTACAGATCAAAAGATACTTTCTGCAGTGTTTTGACATACATTTAATTAATATTGAGGTCTTCTGTGCTTCAAAAGGTGCCTTTGTTTGATTGATGAGGCAGATAGTTCCTGTTTTCTGAAGCTAAGTCTCAGCTGCGTGTCATAATGAAATAAAAGTTGTATTTGTGATGCTTGGACACAATTCATCAGAGTCCAGTATTGGATCCCCAGCCAGCCTACATTGTTGTAGCTGACTGAAGTGCACTGTGGGCATGCTGTCTTTCACTAATAATGCTGTCTTCTGTAGATCGAGACCCCGAAAGCCATGGCAGCAGACCTTCTCAGAAGTTTTTGGCACTCACTGGAAGATCCTGTGGTTCATTCCTTTCAGGCGGAGGCAACCACTGCGAGTTCCCTACCACTTTGCCAATCACGTCTAAACAGATGGATGGTGGGCACAGATGGGTCCTCCATGCTGGAAGTGCATTACAGGTTTTATGATAATAGGACTATGACAGTCTTCAAGTCAATTAAAATCCAGTCGTCGGCATCATAGTGTGCCCTGGGCATTATTTTAGTTATGGTCTTGATTTTATTCTGAAATTAATGCAAGTAAATTAACTTCAGGCTTATTTACTTTAAAATTAGCTTTCCAAAGAGAATCCTTTTGTCTTCGAGGTTAATACCAGAAGTAAGCAACTGAAATGTAGTCTTCCTCCAATTTGATACTGACTCTTTTTTTTTTTTTTTTTTTTTTTTTGTTTTTGTTTTAATTTTTGTGTAGAAAGCACTGAAGTTTATATTGATGGTTAGATTTCTCACTAAGTGTCTTATTCTGCCTTGAAATTTTTTTTAGGGTTTTTATCAGTAGGTCTGACTGGATAATAGTAACATCTTTTTTTCCTGCTGCATATGTTTAAAATTCCGTGATTCTGCCAGTTATTTATGATATGCAAAAGTAATCCTGCAGCACTGCACTATAAAAGGTAACATTTAAAGCTGAAGCAGAGGACTTCCTAAACCTTTCTCAGAGAGGATTTGTAGAGGCACATAAATGTGTGTGTTTACATAGAGAACAGCTTACAGTTGTCTTCTGGCCTAGATATAATGTTAGTGAAAAGTGTTCATGTCTTTATGTAAGTGAGAGGGATTAAATATTTCAGGGTAAACTATGCAGATACAAAGCATGTTTTCCCTAAATCCCAAGGATTTGAATTAGCAATAATCAACAAAGAGGTTTTATGGTGCAAATACTAGAATAATTACTTTTAAAAAATATAGATGTAGTTAGTTAGCATAATGTATCATAAAGAAGAGTATATTGTGAATAAAGTTAAAAATTTTATATTTACTTTTCTTTAGTCTTGATTAGCTGGAATTAGTCTAAGTGTTTGTATATTTAAAATAAAAGTAATTAAAATATTTATACATAAATGTAGATTTGCTATTAATACGAACACTGAAGTATATAAGCACGTTTAATAGGGTACTATGTTGCTGTAGATACGTTGTTGTTATTCTTAAGTATGGAAGTAGTTAACCAAAGAAAGTGTCTTTCAGATCTGGTAAAATGATAACTATTTCCAAAGTACCAGCTCGGTCTTCTTGCATCTCGAAAAGTTATGTACTTACTTTAGCCCTCTGTATCTATACAAATATTAACTTCAGATGATTGTGAAAACTACTGTGGATTTCTAGGAGAAATTCACAGCTCAAGGTTTCCAATTATGCTGCTTGCTGTGTGTTTTGAATAGTCTAACAGGCCTAGGGTCCACCTTAAATAGCAGCGGTGCAGCAGGACACAATAAAAGACACAAAGGATTTATACATGTAGATTTTGCAGAAAGTAATAGTTTATTTTTGAACAGTTTTCAGAAAAGAAGGGTAAGATTTTTCATGACTGGTGTTTGCAAAACATTTTAGCCCAACTCTCTTAAAGTCTTAGTACAGTTACTGCCACTGTTAGGTGTCCCTTTATTGAATTTACAGATTTTGATGATCCACTGAAAGTTCCGAAAAGTACATCTTAAAAATCACTTGAACTTTAAACTTTTGTAAATGTTTAACATTTGATCTAACTTTACTTCTTTTGTCCTATTAAAAGTTAGGTGCAATGTTCTGTTAATTTAAATGTCAAGGCTAATGTTCAGCCATTTTCCTTTTTTTCCTCATGCCAGTTGTAGTGGGGTTCGACTTCTTTTCAAGTGGTATTGGCATATTGTCATCAATATTTAAACAAAAAGAAGCTCAAAGAAATGGATGAGAAGACTGGAGCAGTGCTTGAAATTGAAAGTAATGTGAATATACATAATAAAGTAATGGCTCTATTATTTTCTTTTCCTTCTCCCCACTGTTTTAGTCTCTGGAAATAATATTTACAGGGAAATAATATTTCATTTCTCATGCCAATATTTAAATGTTTCATAAGAAAAACATTGTACAAGGTTTTTAATGCTAATCAATTATCAGAGCAGATTGTACAGTTCTGAACCTTATTCAGAAAGAGAACCAAGAATTTAACTATTTTTAATATATTTATCATGGTGCATATAATTGTGTGTTCTGCTTCCCAGTATTACTGTTTCAGGGTGGAGTATCAGTTACACTTTCCAGCAAGTGATGTCTATGAAAATCTTTCCTGATTCTGAAACAAAAGTGATAATTTCACAAATTATCACAAGTTCTCAAATCTACTTTTTCTCAGTTTCCTAGTCATTAAAACTGATAATACTCATCATGAGGAAGTAATTTGCAACATGATTAAGACTATTAGTTCATTTTTGTCCCTTTTCTAAGTATTTGAGGGACAGAGTGGGGAATTTGGAGAGTCTTGATATTTTAATAGGTAGTAAACTTTATTCTTTGAATGAGAGGCATCTAAAATGGTAAAAGTAATATTTTTTTTCTCAATTTAATTGAAGGACCCTATCATGTTATTAGTTTCTCCAAATGATGTTTCTGAAACTAATTTTCAGAATGAGTTGTTCCATCAGGAAAAATCAGACTTTTATCAACCTTTATTTATTTATAATCCTTCAGACCTTGAAATTCTTGAATCCTTTGAGCCATTGCCTTCTTTCCCTCCAAGTGTTCCTTAGGATTCTTAGTTTTTTATAGAAACTGCATTTTTAGGATTACTTAGTGTTTGTCATTTTCATGCATTTAAAATAACTTATGGGCAGCGTTACTAAATTTCATGCTAATACAATATCAGAACAACATATACTTTTTTGAGGAAAGTGAATATTATCTTCTGACTTGGCAATATTTGATTTCCTGAAAGGCACAAAGAGAACTTGAAGAACCAATGAATTCCTCCCAGAAAATATTTGAAAGTAGCTAGTTTATATGCAGTGTGGGATAGCTTCTGACCAAAAATTGTTAACTTGCTATCTTCTCATAATCAGAGATTTGAGATTTCATTTTAAAAATGCTGATGTCTAAAATAAAACATAATGTATTAAATGATATCTGTGAATCTGTCCTCTGCTCTGTTCCTTTGAAGGAGAGGTTCTATCATATAGCTGTTCTAGTAGTTCAGGTACACAATCATTTTCAGTCTTGAAGGAGGAGTTATGAGTCTTGAATTCTCATATACATGAAACTTTAAGAATAAATTTTCTATGTATCTGTCTTTATTAATAGACATAACTTTTAAAATATGTTCTGAGCTGTTCTTCAGATATTCCTGAGAATTACTTTAATTCACTGGTTTATAAATACATGGTTAATAAAACACCAAGTGGAATGTCATGTATCTTGGTTTAACCCCAGCCAGCAATTAAGCACCACAAAGCCACTCAGTCGACTCTTCCCCCAGAGCAGGATGAGGGGGAGAATTGGAAAAGTAAACATGTGAAACTCTTGGGTCAAGATAAAGACAATCTATAGGTTTGATAGGTAAACCAAAAGCCATACAGGCAAGCAAAGCAAAATAAAGACTTAATTTAATGCTTTCCGTGGTCAGGCAGGTGTTCAGCCAGCTGTAGGAAAGCAGGGCTGCACCACCCATGACGGTGAGTGGGGAAAACAAACACCATCACTCCAAACATTCATGTGTTCCTCCTTCCCCCAGTTCTATTTGCTGAGTGTGACACCTTGTGCTTTGGAATATCCCTGGAGTCAGTTGGGGTCCCAGCTGTCCCAGCTGTGTCCCCTCTTAACTCCTTGTGCACTCCCAGCCGCCCTGATGGGATGGTGTAAGTAGGAAAACAGGGCCATGTTTCCTTGTGGCTCAGCTGTAAGGAAAGTATTCCTGTGCTATCAACACTCTTCCTAGCACAGATCGAAAACACAGCCCTGCATTAGCTACCCTGAAGAAAATTACTTATTCCCAAACCAGCAGATCATGACAGATCACATTGTTGTTTGCATTCAGAATCCAGGATATTTCATTGTTCATGTGATCATGTTTGGTTTATGAGAAGCTCTACACAACCTGGTAATATGTGCTTTCAGCACAGCAGACATCCTAAGAAGTGCAGCCAAGAGGTTGAGGGAGGTGATTTTCTCTCACTAATAAGTTGAATCTAATTCTAAATTAGTTGAAGTATTAGGATCTCAAAAGTAACAGTGTGATACTGAATGCTGCTAGGAACTGCTTTTGGGAAGAACAGGTATTTCTAAACACACAGTCCATATTTAGGTAACATAATACGTGACTGGATACTTAGAAAATGTTCCTCAAAAGATTTTTGTACTACTGTCTCGGTGGCTGAGTATTTGCCCTTGGTAGGCATTGAAATACTTGTATTTGTGGACTGCATAGGATTGAGAACTGAAATCCTAGGATTTCAGTTCTGCTGAAATTATCCAGTGGCATCTTGTGTCTTGGCCAGGCTATGGCAGAGTGGTTAAAGTCTGTTGTAGCAGCAAGGGCCGTCCAAGTATCAACTGTATAACTGTAAGAATAACTTAACATTTACAGTGGTTTTCAAGTTAGAAAATAGGAATTTTAACTTTTGTGCACTTCTGGGTATTTCAATGCTCATTCCCAGGACTCATATCTGCATGTATATCACAGTAGTCTTCAGACAGAAAATTATCACTCTGTCTTTTTAACAGGCAGAAAAACAGTACTGATTTTTATGAACTAGCATTCTGAATTTTGTACCTGAAATGTGGGCATGTGATTGAGTTTTATTCATTTGTTCTTAGTTTGATCTTGACTGTTTTCAAATAATGCTGAATGAAAATTATGAGGTCTAACACTGGTTATGCCTGAATGGTAATGTACGAGGTGAATGACTGAATAATAGCAGAATAAGAAAGCTTACTCTGGTATTCTTTTAATCAAATCTGAAAATGCATGAGTGTGTTCAGCTGTTAAACAATGTATTTTAAAAAAAATTATCTTTGTTAATTTCATTCATGTAATTTTTTTTTTTATTTTTAAAATTGATTAAAATTACAGTTTATTTTTTTTCATTCCTACTGAGAATTTTTTTGTTCTGTATTTTTATGAAATCTTATTTTTAAATAAAACAAATTAAAAGTCTTTTTCTCTTCACTGAATTTTATTTACATTGATTTAAAATTGTGTAAATTGTTTACTAATATTTTTAGATCTGTTTGCAGATTTTTCTAATTATGTTATAATTTATTCTCACTTCTGTATATTTTTTTATTGTAACAAGTGAAAAAGCTACAACCCCAAATGATTATTTTGAAAAAATGAACTGTGAAAAATTGCTGAGTAGTTGGTGAGGTCCTTACTATCTGAGCTTTGTTGTTTGCTTTTAAGAGAAGAGATGAATGTTGGTGGAAATATTGAAAACTTTCTCTATTAGAAGTAGCCTACCAACTAATGTTGATATACAACACTAATTAAAGCATTGTTTAATTTTCTTGCCTATAGTTACAGCCAGACTAGGAACCTCTGGTGTAGGTATTAACTAAGATCTATATAAATTGCCATTTTTCAAATTACAGAAATAGAGTTTGGGGGTTTTTAATATTTGGATTGTATTTTTTTTTTTAGATTGTTCATCCTTGTAACAGTTTTTAAGAGAGGGAAATCATTCTGAATCAGCAGCCCTTCTGTTTTGTGTACATGGGAATTTATATCAGATTTTGATGCAGAAAAATTTCACACACTTTGGTCTGTGAGATACTTTAAAGATGTAAAAAGAAGTGCATCAATGGCCACAGGGAAAACATTTAGAGAGCAATAAAAAAGCTGCTGGGTGTGGTGCAACCAGTAGTCTCAGTTTTAGAAGTATAAGGAAGTTAGACACCTGGGAAGATCACTACAAGACTAGTAAACCCAAGAGGAAAAAACCAGTGGCTATGTCTGCAAGGAAATTATTAACATAGCTCAACTGTGTCACTTCATGAATCAGGAGGCACAAACTACTTGGTGATGATTTGTGGTACAGGCCTTGCATCTTCTGTTTCAACTCAAGAGTCGGATTCTGCTAATAACAGCAATAAAAATCACTTCCATGGCAATCTTTCCAGGCTTGTATGAGTGCATGCGATCTTTTCAATATGTGGAAACTGGGATCTATTCCCAGTTGCCCATGAAAGTAATTTTAAAATATACACTCCAGTATTTTTAGTGCCTAAGGCTCCTGAAAGTACTTCTTGATGTGTTGCTCCTAAAAGTATTTCTTGATGTTTTGTCATTTTATAAACTGAGTGAAACAGTATTTTTGAGTTTATAAATTTATTTAAAGAGGCGACAGGGTAATACAGATGAACAAATACATGCAAACACTCCTCTAGTCTGATCTTTTACTCTTATGAGCCAAAATAATACTGATGTGGAAGGGCAGTTGGAGGGAAAATTTGACCCTGTATTCTTCAAGCTGAATAATCAGGCTTGAGGACGATGGAAGATGTGTTAGTCTGACCCAAATGATGCTAAGCTAAGCTGAAAAAAAACTGGCCATGACATTTTTTGTATGTCTTCTAGTTTCACAATATTTTTCTCATTAGACTTCCTATCTCAAAAACATTCGCTTTGTTGAAGGATTAGTGTGAGAAGAGACATGTGCAGCAAAGGCTTTGTATGGAGTAAGCCAAAAAACTGCACGTCAGTTGCGGAGAGATAAACATTAAATAAACTGGAGGGGTGCTGCTGGGAAGTAACAACTCTTTCAAACACAAGTAATAATTTATTCCCAAATACAGCATGATTTTGCTGTTTAGGATATGCTTCCCGACCTCATTTTTATTCCATGAAACTTGGACTTTCCTGTAACTGGGGCCCAAACCCCCAAAATCCAGTCTGTTGTCTGGCATAAGGGGGTCCTCTTTTTTGGTGAGTATAAAGTGTAAGATATGTAAATGTAGTGTAGACACTACAGAAATTTGAGCCCTGTAGAGGTGGAATGTGATCATTTGTTTTGATGGCTGATGGATGCTAACCCAGTGGGTTAGACTGCAGGTCTGGGGCTCAGAATATCTGCCTTCAGTTCTCTGCATGTCCCATAGTTCTCTTAGCGAAGACACCCAGATTTTTGGCGAGGGAGTTGTACAAAGCTGCAGTGCAGAAGGTGAGCTGCCCACATCACAGAAGCCTGGATAACCCACTTCAGAAGAAACAACCATATTCCACACATCACATGAGGAAGGAATTTGGGCAGCCTAACATCCAGCAGTGCATAGGTGACTGGAATTTGAAGCATATTTGTTTTCAGCTCATTCCCATAAATTTATTGGATACACCAAGAAGAGAGATCACAAACTAAAAGTAGGTTCATTTAGAAAACTAAACTGTATTTAGTTTTCTACTTCAAATTTGGGTTAAATTTAAGGATAACAGATGAGCATGTCATAGGAAATCACCTGAGATAAATTTATTTTGCTTTCAAATATTGAAGCTTTATGTATATGCCTTTTTATAGAAAGCATTTATAAGGAAATTGAAAATACCTTTCTGAATCTAGTTTGGCGATTTTCTATACAGTTATATATTCAGGGCATATTTCTATAAAAACATACATGCAGCATGTGTATGGATGAAGAATAATTCTGATTATTTATCACTAACAGCCAGGACTGAAAATTTTTATTGTAAGTACTTTCATTCACCAGTAGTACATCTTCAGCACCACCAGCTGTTCAGCTTTATGTCAAGATTTTTAATCTGGCACTGAAAAATCAGAATTTAGTTTCCCTGTTCTACCTCAATACTCCCAGAACAAAAAAGCTAAGTTTTTTTCCTTAGACTGGTTAAATGATCTCATAGCCTCATAAATCTGAAAAAATATTGCTACAGCATCAAATGCAACCGGTACTGCCTTCATATCCTTGGTTAGTGAGAAGCCACAGTGATATGTATGAACTAGGAAAGGAGCTGCAATGCTTTTTCTGCTGGTCCAAGTGTGTTCTTTTCTTGCTGCATATTGGAGAGTCTGGAACCTTGTTTGATGAATAAAGCATGTATGTTTTAAGATAGAGGAAGTAACAGCACTGCAGCCACAGCACACCAGGCAGAGATGAGGCTGCAGAGGAGTCTGTGAGTAGCAATGTGGCTCTGTGACCCTTCTTTCTTGCTTGCTTTGCAGATGAACAGAGATACAGCACCATCCTCCATATCTCAGATCTCCCTGGGGGTGGGAGATAATATTTCTGCCAACTAAGTTTATATTAATTTTCAAGTAATAGCAGTTTTAGTTGAAAACAATCTTGGTATTTTTATCCTTTCTGCTGCCATCAGTTCAGCTGCTTTTGTTCTGTTAAGCACAACTCCTTGGAGCTTCCCTGTGGAATTGCTGAATTATGAATGGGTATCTGGATGTGACATACAGTGCACCCTTCCCAAGTCTTCCTGCAAATTCCCTAGAGATCTTTTCAAAGTAGACATTTCAGCTGTGTCAAAACTGCAGACACTTAGAAGATGGAGCGCTGATGGAACTGTTGAAGTTCAGCCATAGTCATGTCCAGTGATCAGATTTCTCACCTGTATGTCTTTTTCAAAGCAGCAAAATTATTCCTTTCTGAATGTATTAGCCAACCAAATTGAGATCTATGTACCTCGGACAATATTCTCATTAAAATCTAAGTGCAGTTTTCTGATATATCAGTTCAAAGGCAGGTGAAAAGCCAGAGGTCAATGTTACGCATAAGATGTGTCACTCCCTACATATCTGCTTAAAAAAAAAAAATAGAGAAAAATTAACTGTCACAGTTGAAATCAGTGTGGATATTTGATTCATAGGATCAATTTTCCAGTTTTGGATAAGTCTGAATGGAACCATTATTCTTACAAATAGGTCTTGAATTAGTAAACGCAGATGATACAGAGCAGCATTTAGTTGAAACAATTATCTCAATTACCTCTCTTTTTTTTGAGAAAGTCAACAATGGTAATTTTTCTGATTGTTATTTGCAGCTGATTCTGATAAAAGGTTAAACTATTTTTGAGCACATTTTTTCTGTATATCAAATTTTTGGAAAAAAGATATGTGAATAGGTGAAAGAGCAGTTTGTTTTCTCATAAAAGATAGGCAGTAAATAACATTAATGTATTGCTTAAAAGGGTTTGGAGAGAAAGTTATTATCTCTCCATCTAGGAGACTACTGATGAGGCCTCATATGTCCACTTATCATTACTAGGTCAAATAAAGGTTTTGGCAAACGTACCTTAAATGCACTTTCAGTTATAATGCCTAAAGGCTTTGAATTTGAAAGTCTGTATTGTATTACAGTTGTGAGTGTACAAAACCAATGCTATAGATATTTTTATTTATTTATCATATAAAATGGATGGCAATTATGCGATTTGTAATTAGTTTGTGAGGAGGAGAGCAGCTTCAGGTTCAGTGAGCTCTTTGCAGGATGTTATCTCAATCCATACATTTTGTGCAGTTATTTCACAAAGGCATGGGGCTAGCTTCTTCTAGTGCTGCACCACTGAGCTCCCTGTGGACTTCTAAATACCCATGTTTGCTCTTCCCTGCAGGATTATGGTGTCTAATGGAAGCAGAGGATTTGTCAATTTGTTGAGTTATTTCATACTCTGCCCACAGTGTGCTAACCTTTATATGGTAAAACTGGACAAAAGGAAGATACAGGAACACATGAATATTAAAGGAAACACCTGAACAACAAGTCATGTCAAAACTTGTATCAAGTCACAATAGCATTATGCACAATAGCAATAGTCACAGTAGCAGGCATTAATAACTACAGCATATATGGATATGTAGCTAAATCACATGCCTGTAGTCACAGGGATGCTGGTAACTACTCAGTTAAAAAGCTAGTGCTTTTGTTGGGAAAGTTCAATCCTCCTCTCTGGCATGACAGATACTTGTGTGAAGGTCCAATGATCTGGTACCAAAACACAAGGCAAAATACATCTGCATAGACCCTTCACACATTTGGCTCACCTACCGTGGGCTGCAAACTGAGGAATAACCGAAGTGCTGTTTGCTGGAGCAGCACTAACCTTTCAGAGCTGAGTAGGACAGAATGTAGAAGATAAGATCATGGCAGATGCTCTTCACTTTCTCAGGAGTTTTGTTTCATCAAAGAAAACTTATGGAGACCATATTTTCTGCCCAGCTGTGCCATCTCTGATTTGACTGGCACGCAAACCAAGGAACCTGCCGTGCCCAGTCCTTCTGCCCTGGGAGAATTTGCTGTAAGTGCCTGGAGTTGGTACTTAACCACATGGGAAAATCCCTGTCCCATAGCCAGTTCCCATCACATTCTTCCCATCCCAAGTATGGTCTCCTTACTAAGAGGTTACCTGGACAATCTCTAGCTAAGGAGCAATGATGGCCAGTCATAATTCAACTCCCACATCTCCTTACCCACAGCTGATAGAAGACAGGCAGAATACTCAATATATGTGGTGACTATGGGCTCAGTGTCAGACCTGCTTACTTTAGGCCCCAGAAGCCCTGTTGTGGGTTGACCTTGGCTGGATGCCAGATGTCCACCAAATTATATCTTCTCAGCTGGAGAGAAAATATAATTAAAAAATAGTTAAGATAAGGACAAGGAGATATGACTCACTGATTACTGTCATGGGCAAACAGATCCAACTTGGGGAAATTAGTTGAATTTATTATCAATTAAAATCAGAAGAGGATAGTAAAAAGTAAAATCCTAAAAACACTTTCCCCCCCACTCCTCCCTCCTTCCCATGCTTAATTTTAATACACAATCTCTACTTCCTCCCCATCACTAGTGCAGGGAGACAGGGAATGGTACTGTGGTCCGTTCATCACATGTTGCTTCTACTGCTGCTGAAGGACAGGAGTCCTTCCCCAGTGTGGAATCCCTCCCACAGGAAACAGTCCTCCATGAACTTCTGCATTCTCAGTCCACCCTTTCAGCTGCAGTTCTTCTTAGACCACTCCAGCATTGGTCGCTTTCCACAGGGTGCAGTCCTTTAGGACTACGTTTCTCCAGCATGGGCCCAAGGTCACAGTTTTGTCAGCAAACCTGCTCTAGCATGGGCTTCTCTCTCCACAGGTCCATAGATCCAGCACAAAGTGGGTTTTCCATGGAATCACAGCCATCTTTTGGGCATCTGCCTGCTCCTGCATCCTCAGTTGGCTGAAAGTTTTTCTCTAATCCAACATGGGCCTCCATGAACTTCAGGGACAGAGTTGCTTCATAGCTGCAGGGGAATCTCACACCCCGTGGTTGGAGCACCTCCTTCCCCTCCTTCTGCACTGACCTTGGAGTT